TCAATTATCTGGAAAGGAAAGACTTGAAACTCAATGAAGATGATATTAAAATTTTTCGCAAAGAGAAAGTTGCTGGTCGTGATTTTTTTAAGTTAACAGAGAAAAAGCTTGAGCATTATGGAATGAAAGGAGGGTCAGCATCAAGACTTATAGACTTTATCGAAGGTTTCAGCCAGAAGCTACAAAACTATTCCTCGCTTAAAACTCTCGATGACTTAAAGAAAATGTTATATAAAAATAAAGTGAATGGGAAAGATATAACAAATATCAAGCAGTTTACTGGTAGGTAATTAATTAATTTTTGAAACTGACTAGATAACTATATTAACTTTATTTTTCTCTGTAGTTTTTGAGGAGATTAGTGATCGTTCGAACACTGTATAGAGGATATTATCTTAAAACTTTTGAACGTGAAGACCATGACCGATGCTAATGAGGCAACGCACTGTGAATTTATTTTAGCTATATTACATGTGTCAATTGCTATCGCCAAAAAACTCACCTCTCAAGATATATTAATAGTTTTACAGAAAGACGTTTCCGGTGAAAATGCTACTGGCTGAGTAGACTACGCAATCAAAGTTTAGAGGATCTTCTTTGTATCACTGAAGGAAAACCACGAAATATTAAGATTGGATATGCGCAGATAGGCCTACTATCCACATTTTCACTTTCTAACATATTAGGGATATTAATGATGGTTTATCTCTTAGAATCTAGCACAACTTGAAAGCGCATTTCAGACAAATAAAAAGAAACTAACTGCGGATTAAGTATTCAGGAATGACTATTTTGACTATATTTATGGTATTGTGACCACAGGTACAGAGTGGCATTTTATCATATATACTCCTGATGGTACATACTCTACAAGTAGAAGTGAATATCAAATTAATCTCATGAAGTCTGCTGTTAAAGAAAATCCTAAGCTACTTCGAAACAATGTGAAAAGGATAATAGGTATAATTGTTAGGTTGTTGAAGGATCAGGTTAGTGTAGATAATTCTCCATCTAGCAAGAGGGCTAGGATCAAAAAATTATCAAAAAATAATGTGTATCGTGGGCTAGGTCCTGAACATTTGTATTTATTTTTTATATGTAATAATAAAAATTTTTTCTTGGCAAAAGTGATTGGCATGAACACACGTGATTTTTTTATTTCAAACGTAATTTTAGATTATGAAATACCATGACAAAATGTCATGATCAAACTACTGTCTGAAGCTTTGCACAGTCGCCGTTCAGATTGTCTTCACTATCTCACAAACACAAAGCAAACATGAGTACGATATGGATAATGTAAGGGGGTTATAACAGATGCAGAAAATGGTATTTCATGTAGAGGGGAATGAAAGGGTAAGGTCATTGAGTAATCTCGCAGAGGGGATAGAAACCTAGTGACGTAGTAACTTCATGTATCACGGGCAGAGTCCTGAATAAAAAAATTTTTAGTAACAACAATCACTGATGAGGAAATACCTCATTTTTCATAACCACCGCATAATATCATGGCGTCTTGACTGAAGATAAGTATTCAGGCAGATGCCACGTTTATTAGTTCCGAATTTTGACCTGAATACTCACGTGATTTTTGATCGTGAAGATTCTTCACGGTTGCACCTATAATGTGATAATGTGACATAATGAATGCATATCAAATATAAGTTGTATGCTAATATTTCTTGATCATTGATTCGATACTTGATAAATAAATGTGTATAGACGACATCATGTATTACAGGAATAAATAATTTATTCTCGACCCTTATATAAGGTGAATCCTTTTATATTCGCCTTGTGCGAGTAAAATGAAAAAATTAAACGGAATAATCAAACTTGCATCATCAATCGTGTGCTTGATTTTTGAAGTTTTGATAAGAATCGAAAAACTTACTTTCTTGTGGATCCTAATAAAGATTTCGATACAGAGGCGGATTGGAGTTGAAACTTTTAACCCATTGATATTTTTGCTTGCAATGGATAAATTCGGATATTTTTCTTCGGAAAATTGGTACATAGATAGGCATATAGATAGCGAAAAGTTAGCAATAATAGTATGAAGTAGCTGGATTTTTCCCTTTAAACGTCCGCTACTCAATTATTTTTTTTACTAAATTAGTTTAGCTCAGTGGTGGTATTGTATTTCCATAATTTCATTCATTTTACTAAAAATAAAAGATCTTTGCTTTATCTTTAATCTGTATATTTAAAAGAAGTTATAGAAATGCGAAAAATTTAAAAATGATTACTTTTTTTAATTTTATTCCAGCCATTTTACAAATTATTATAATCATAAAATTTTATTAAACTACATTATAGTAATTTGAAAATCACATGCATCAGACGTAATAATTATCATACAAGAAATATTATTTCCTTCGCATGCACACTATGCAATTGTGATACTTAATCATCAATTATCATTTCCGATTCTTCCTCCCCCTCATCCATTGTCTTTTCTGATACTAGTTTAGCAATAAATCTTGTAAGGTCTCCGTATATTCCCATAAACTCCAGAAACCGATTTCCAAACACAATGCCAGTCCCTGTTGGAAGCTCGTTAACTTGATGTGAAAACCGCTTTACAGTCATCACTATAAAGCATTCACAACCCTTAGTAGCCTTCTTTAATTCTTTATTAAAATCATCCAGTGTAAACTCTCCTACAAACGTTTCAGGAAGAGGAAAACCTGATTCGATAGCAGAACTGAATTTATACTGCTCTTCCGCATGTGGTGTTAATGAGTCGGATGAGTTACTACGCCTACGAACCAATACGATGAAACGGCCTGTTGTAACATCTACATTTTCTACCTTGTCATTATTAGCATCTGCGATAACAGATACTTTTTTACGGTCAATTAATTGATTCCAAGTATATGGATGCTTGGGATCATCATAATCTTTCCTTTTTATGATGAGTGCTGATCTATAATTTACATTAGGTTGGATGTTAATGGTCTTGGATAACATTTCATTTGATGCCAAGAGACACCCGAAATAAATTTCTTCAATAGTCATTTGACGAATTCCAACCAAATCTGCCAATCTGTATGTAATCAGATGCATATGTAAAATGAATTTTGGGAAAGATTCTTCATCAAGTCGGGTAAATGGATCCAAGATGATATCATCAAAAAAACCCAACTTTAAATGTGAGACAAGAGATGCAATTAATACAAGAGGGGCTTTAGCTTTATAACGCATGTTATCAATCTCTTCTAAAAAAATAAGCCCCCCGGCTTCATGATCCCCTACAGTACTATCATCCAGAGCAGTATCTTTGGTAATCAGCTTTTGAGTATGAATCCAAAATATAAGTTTCAATATGGCCTTTCTACGTTTTTCATCTGTAAAATCTTGTGGATCTTTTCTCCCTCCAACACAATCTAACCAATTATCAATTGAATACTTTCGTTTTGCCCAATCAACAAGAATCCTCCAAATTTCTTTAGTTTGTTCTGCTGAATCAAAAGGTCTCTTCATGTTCAATAACTCCAAAGCACACCGTTCCATAACAACTGCAATCCCTCTAACAGCACCAACCAAGGTACGATATAATGAATTATTACGTGAAATTGGATTGGTGAATTCATCGGAAGTTTTCATTTTATGAACTATTACAGAATCCATAAAGTTAAGAGATTTTTTTATGTCCATAGGTGACATATGTACATCATAAACATTGTAATCAGTCACGCTAAGATGACCTGGATTATCAAATTCCCGGAGCTTTATTGGAGCAGTGCCTGTACAAATAGGTACAATCAAAGTTTTCAGATCACAAACTTGTTTATCTGTCACAAGTTGAGAGGTGTAGCGCAAAATGTTGGCGATCAAATATTCATCACGCTGGTATTCGTCTAGTTGTAAGAGGATTAAAAGTTTCTGAGGTTCTATAGAACAGGATTGTCGAATCGCTTGTAAGACTGTTATTAAATTAAAAGAACTTTTTGCTAATTCTCTGAAATATTGTAGAGATTCTTGCCGGTAGTTTCCTGTGAAATAATAAGATGCAATCGCCAACGCTAGGTAGTGACCTACACTGTTTACATGTGATGGATTACGAGGATAACGACCTGTAAATTGGTCACGTGGAGGTCGTTTATCAAAATAAACAAGGGTAGATTCTGGGAAAATCTGGATAAATATATGGATAATTTTAAAACCACCATTCTTAATTTGTTTAAGGTCTTTGATTATATTAATCGTCTCAAATCCATGTCGCGTTTTTCCAGTGCCAGAACCACCTGAGATACTGATTCCCTGATAATCATTTAGACGAGAACTTCCATTCTGAAAGGCTTCTAAATTAGTTGATATTTTGCCTCTGATGAACTGTTGTATATGTGTTCTTTCGACATAATTATACAAGGTTATAACAGGTTTGTCTTTATTTGCGATTTTCTGACCGATTTCGATAATTCTTTCTTTAGTAAGGGGCTCTTCTTCTGAGAATAAATAGCGGTGGGTTAAGATATAGGGCTACAGACAATACTCAAGTTATTTAACTGCAAATACCGTACCTTGTGTAACGCTTCGCAAAGGACCTGCTTTAACGCGAAAAAAAAAGATCAGACCAAACTCGATATTTTGTTACTGCAAATTTCTTGTTCAAAGAGGTAAAACGTTGGGAGACACTTACCAGTGGTGGTCAGAAGTTGCACGATGATGTGAATGGCAGACTTGCTTTCCTCATCTTTAAAACTATTCTCATTGAAATATTTACTAAGACGAAATCGAGGTTGCATCAATTCTCCTCCAAGTTTTTCTCTAATGTCATTTTCGGTAGAAAATGTATCAAGCAACTCGTCGTTCTTGTCGATACTAACACGGTCAACCTTCCAAAGATTCAGATTGTCAGGAGAATAATTAACTCCTTTTTCAGACAAAATAAGAGATTTGACATGTGAAACTTTAATATCTTCATATTTGATCCTGTTGTTGCTAACGATAATTTCGTCACTAATATCAACTGAAATAGATCGGATAGAAGCTTCTCCCAGAAATAAACAATTTAAGGAGAAAATCATTTTGAAGGTATTTTTCTGTAAAATTATAAATGATATTTTTTTTTTAAAAAAAGAAGTTTAGAGAAATTTGAGAGAAAAAAAAAAAAAGTGTATATATATACTTCTGAATACATCGTGATTAATTATAAAATGATCTTTATAAACTATTAATTGGTGACACGAAATAGTATAAAAAAAAAGTTTATTTAATGATATAAGCACAGTAAAAAAAAAGGTTATATAATGATATAAGCATAGTAAAAAAAAAGTTATATCGGTAAGCGAACTCAGATTGCATTCACCGAGGTATTTATTAATTCTTCGGTTGTACAACAACAATTAGTAGCCAATAAAATTAATTTTAAATTATGTCATAACGACAACTAAATTAAAATCTGGTGTAATTAAGACGTTTTCTCTGATGTAAGATTTTACGTATACAACTTTTTTTTTCTTATTCCGACCCCAAGCCGTCGTGCTATTTTCTCCGAGCATGAACCTATCGCAGTTTAAGAAGTGTTGACGAAAAAATTATTAAAGTCCGGACGAGACACTTCACAATTAAGGTATGAATGAAATATATTTTTTCGGCTGTGACTGTGCATTTGCAAGGGAGTGATTCATAGCTTGTAAAGCTAATCTCTATTTTTTTGTTCAGAAATTTCGAGGACCTTATTAGGCGGGGAACATACTTTCGGTGAGTTTTACTAAGGCCAATATTGTTAATTTATTTCTGACTCTTCTATGCATAAACTGACGACCATTTTATTCTATCCAGAATATCGACGTTGAGACAAATGAAATCGGATTAGAGTTAATGTTGGGATATGTTAGTATATAGATAGCTTAGATAGCTTAGATCACCGGCAGGCATTAGTATAGAAACACCGTTTCACTTTGTAAAACAAGTCTATGTATCATCGAGTCATGTAATTTTATTTTCTATGGTGCCGGAAGTCTTAACTAGACAATAAAATTGTAATACTTGAAAAAAAAATAAACCAGTAATCTTATTCTCTAAGGTGAAATTTATTAAATTACCGATCCGATTTTCGGTGATTTTCATATTATTTATCTGAATTTGAAACAAATTTTGTCACGTGAATGCAATTTTATTGGTCGAAAATCATCATAATTTGAGCTGAAATTATGATAATTTGATGCCGGCCCGAATTATCATAATCAATTTTCACAAGAGAAACAAGTGATCATGAGAAAATTTTTAGATTTTCACATGTTAAATGAAAAATGTTTTATTTGAATACTGATAACTATATTTCTTTTTAAATGTCATGTAAAACAAAAAGGCAACTGCAGGTTAGCAAAATACCAAGAAAAAAAGGTCATTATATATCTAAGGATCAAGCAGAAACTGAGATAGAGGCCGTTGAAGGTGAAAAATGTATGGATAATGAGAATCTTGATGAGTAGACGAAGGGTGAAATTGTTGAAGATCAGATAGAGGATGAGATAAATAATGATTGGATGAAAGAAGATTTGAAAAGTTTGAGAAAATAGGAAAAAAGCTTATTACCAAAGTTCTTTGTTGGCATGAGAAAGCTGCAGGTAGTATCAGAGCAGCATACAATAGAACTTCAAGAATCACAATCTGGAGGAACAAAAAAAAAAGGAAGAGTTAGTATGTGATGCAAAAGGAATGAGAACTCTTGATATATTATTTGGAAGTACTGAAAATTAACCAGTATACCCTTATCACAATCATTAAAATCATAATCTCCATCCTCATCTCCATTTTATCTTCTGAAATTACACTAAGTTCTTCTTTAATTTCCAAAGAGATTATAAATCTACAGATACGTCTAAATGAAATAAAGCAACAATGCACAATAATAAAAAATGTAAAAATGAATAAAAATGTTTTTACCTATGACTATTTACGCCATCTAAGTATACGCAAATATATACAGTTATTATCAGATGGTTTGGGTAAAATAAATGCCAGTAATCAAATTGCATAAACTGTATGGAGCAAAGGTGATTATATTGCAAGATATATTCGAAAATGGGGAGATCATTTTATAAAAACAGGAGAGCTTCTTGTCCATTATCAAGGGAAACATACGAAACTAGAAAGTTTGTTAAATGATGAGGACTTTAAAGAAGAATGTCAAACATGGTTACGACAACAAAAACTGGAATCACGTACTCCTGGAAACCTGAAAGTGTATATTGAAGGAATGGTATTTCTTAAGTTAACAGGTCATATCAAAAAAGATATAATTTCTGAGAAAACATGTCGAAATTACATGTATTTGTGAGAATATAAGTATGATGAAAGAAAAAAGGGAGTTTATTACAATGGGCATGAGCGACCAGATGCAGTAAAATACAGAAAGGAATGGTTGAAGAGGATGTTCGAATATCAAAGGTTAATGAAAGATTTTGATAGCAATATGATGAATATAGTTTCAGAACCTCAACTTAAGCTGGGAGAAAAAGAATTAGTTCAAGTGACGCATGATGAATGCCACTTTTACGCAAATGATGGATAGTGGAGAATCTGGATGAGAGAGGATGAAGATATCCTACGCTCAAAACACCAAAGATGCTTTATAATAGTTTCCACCTTCCTTTGTCCATACCATGGGTTGTTACAATTATCTGACGAACAAATGCAGGAAAATTCACATATTAAAAGTAAAAAGACTTTCATTCTTCGTTCAGTACAAATGGATGGATATTGGAAATCAGAGCATATACTAGATCAAGTAGGTCAAAAATTCATAGATCTAAGATTAAAGCATGGTTAAGAGATATAATAACAAACCTTCTTTACAAAAATTAGCTTATGCATCAAGCTATTTCGATATTTGAGATATTGCATCCTAGTTGTATTGGTGTATTTTGTTTTGACCAATCTACAAACCATAATGCAATGGCAGCTGATGTACTAATTGCGATGAGAATGAATTTGAGTCCTGGAGAAGCACAACCTAAAATGCGTGATGGTTGGTATATCAATGAAAAAGGAGAGAAACTTATATATTCGATAGTATTTCCAGACAATCATAAACTAAAAGGGAAGCCAAAGGGTATCAAGCAGGTACTTACAGAGCGTAATCTTTGGCCAAAGAAGGGTATTCATTTGATGTGTAAGCATGTTCTGGAAAACAAGATAATATTGATCCAGAAAGATTAGATTGTTGTGCACGAAGAATAATATCATTGCAACCAGATTTTTGTGAATAACGGTCAATATTAAAAGAGGCAATAATTAAAGCAGAATATATTTTTGAACGTTACCCAAAATTTCATTGTAAGTGTAACTTCATAGAATAATATTGGAGTTTTGCAAAATGGGAAATAAGACAGTTATGCAATTATAATTATAATGACTTATTAATACAGGTTCCAGAAGTTCTTATTAGTATTCCTAACCTCAACGATTTTTGAAAGTTGTAAAAATTAATGAAGTTAATATTATATTGTACAATTTGCACTTTGTCCTTTAACAGGATATTTTGCATTAGAGGAAACCTACAGGAGAGTCAAAGTAAGATACTATTGGCCACAAATGTATGATGATATACAATGATATGTTCAAACTTGTGATAAATATCAAAGGAGAGGTAAAAATAAGAGAACTGAGCCATTGCATTCTATAAAAGTTGGACAACCCTTTGATCGAATAGGAATGGATATTATTAGACCTTTATTCACAATGAATAAAAGAAATAAATATATTGTAGTAGCAACTGATTACTTAACTAAGTGGTCTGAAGCTAGAACTCTTACAAATGCAAAAGCATTCTCAGTAGTTCCTTTCTTTTATGAGGATATAATTTGTAGACATGGATGCCTTAAGGAATTATTAACCGATAGAGGAACACATTTTGTAAATCAAATGCTGGATTCTCTATGTAAAGAATTGGGAATAAAGCATAAGTTAATAACTGCATATTATCTTCAAACTAATAGTTTTGTCGAGTGATTTAATAGAACTTTGTGTGAAACACTAGCAAAATTCACAAATGAAAATAAAAATGATTGGGATGATTTTCTACCATCCACCTTATTTGCATATCAAACAAAAAGGCATAGTATCACACGACATGAATCCTTTTACTTAATCTATAGGAGAAATGCTATATTGCTAATCGAATTTCAAGTACACTCACCTAGCAAAAATAACTGACCAACAATAATTTTGCGATTAAATACCTCATTTTTAAATAAGTATATTTCGATAATTTACATATTAATTTCA